CGCATGTTGCTACGTCGGATTTTTGCTACGCTACTCCGCTGTGAAACCACCCATATATTTCTAAAGGTTCTAAAATAAGTAGCATGCTTCTTGCTTCCTTACAGCAAGTCGCACGTCGCATGCTACTTTGATGTGAATGCTCACTCTAAATGACACAGAAATTGCTAATGTAGGAGGTATTTTGCCTCTGTTTGTTGATAAAGATCCAAATGTCTCAGACAGCAACTTACTCTTATTTACTAATAATATAACTGTTAGCTCTTTCAATTTTAGTATATCAAACATTCTTGAAAAGTTGGAAAAAATAAATTTGAACCAGGAACTAGGACCACACAACTTCCCCTTCCCATTAGTAACTGTGCTTTTTCTCTATCCAGACCTCTATGGCTACTTTTCAACAACTCAATATTAAACACCAACAGGTTAGAGCAGGTAGATATTATTAGAGATTTCGATAGGAGTGACTCCAAACTAAGCTTTTAATATGATATCGATGATTGAAGGAATAAAGCGCTAAGGATAGAGTTTCATAGAAAGAAATACCAAAGGCATGGGCGCCGGCAGGGGGGGGGGGCAAATCGGGCATTTGCCCCCCCCCTGGATTCAGAAAGTTGAATTATACAGCAAAATCAAAATATATTTTATTTGCAACCATGTATGTAATCTTGACATTACTGACTTTTTAAAAATTTGGAAGTGTCACTTTACCTGTGTCACTTCCCTCTTCGATTTCCCTATTCGACTTCCCTCACCGATTTCCCTCACTGTAATTTATTTACCTTTGCTGGCAACAATGAGAACATGTCAGGTAAAAACGTCAAAACAGTGAATGACATATTTTGGCATGTTTATTTTATTTTTTTAATATCAAAAAAATTAAATGAATAATCATAATTAATGGTGTGCTTGCAAATAAAATAGTATACAAACCTCGGAGGAAAGTTTTCATTTCTGTCTCGAGATTATTAGTCAATCTCTCGACAGTAATGAAACACTTCCCTACTCGGTATGTAATATACTATTATTTGCAACCATATATGTAATCTTGACATTACTGGTTTTTTAAAAATTTGGAAGTGTCACTTTACCTGTGTCACTTCCCTCTTCGATTTCCCTCACCGATTTCCCTATTCGACTTCCCTCACCGATTTCCCTCACTGTAATTTATTTACCTTTGCTGGCAACAATGAGAACATGTCAGGTGAAAACGTCAAAACAGCGAATGACAAATTTTGTCATGTTTGTTTTATTTTTTTAATATTAAAAAAATTGAATGACTAATCATAATTATTAATGGTGTGCTTGCAAATAAAATAGTATACAAACCCCAAAGGAAAGTTTTCATTTCTGTCTCGAGATTAATAGTCACTATATAAATCTCTCGACAGTAATGAAACACTTCCCTACTCGGTATGTAATATACTATATCTATTCGCGAAAATTTCAAAGTGGGCGACATCTATTATCGAATTTATAAACTGAAATATCAGTGAATAACAACGACAAATCGTATGTATCGTTATATGAGGCTAAAATAAATTTACGAATTTTGTGTTCGGACTAAAGTATTTCGACCGAAATTCACCTCAAAAACTAATAATCTTCATATATTGAGTATTGTGTCAAAAAACTTTCATATAGCATCATTGAGGATATTTGTATTTTTGTAATAAAACGAAATTTCAATGTTAGAATACCTGTTTTGAGTGATTGTTCATCTTGAAAGTGAATGTGAAAAGTGATATCTACATTTTTTATGTGTCTGCAAAAGCCAAACATTCCAGCTTTACAGGAAGAAACACATTTCCACTTTTTTACATATTCATCAAGGTGCCTAATTAAAATTTCATGGGGTTTGGAAGTTGAAGAAAAGGTCTGCAAACACAAACTTTTGATATTTGTGCCCCCTTTCAAGGCACAAAGTATTACGTGCCTGCTTTTATGTGTTGCTTCTCTTTCTATAAGGGGTCTACTTATTGTCCCCAATATAAATCATTATATCACAAAGAATAACCACAATATTCAATATGTGTCATTCTGGTAAAGTTCATTAAGCCCGGTATTCATAGTGCCTACTTGAGTGCTGAGGATTCCTTAAAGGTTTCCTTGGCAGTAAATTGTCTTTCAGAGTCAAAATTGTCAAGGCGTCCTTATCGCAGCTCATGCTTATTTTGTCACATTTCCTTCCTTGACTTGAGGAATGTCCAGAGGTCCCTTGAGGCTGGTTTTCTAACCTATTGGTGACAGTACGTGAACCTAATTGATACGTATTGTATGTGAACTGTATTTTATTGATGTAATTGGTATGGATGAGCTGGATTTTTTTTTGTAGAGATAAATGCTGCTGATGCTTGATTCAGCTAGTGCAGGCACCGTAGTGGAATGGTAGAAAAAGCAGTATTGAATTAAACAGGCATTAGCATGCATTAGTTAGTCGATAAATCACCGCATCCGTGGCATTGCTGAATTTAGCCACACGAGGGTTGTGCTGCGGAGGCCAAGAAGGTTTATTCGAGACATGCAGAATCCATTAGAATTCTAAATTAAAGAAGTAGTCCATCTTTCAAAGTAAAGTTGAAATTTGATTTCAAAAGAATACACAAAGTCCTCCTCCATAAATTACTTTGATCAATTTAAAGCGCCCTACATGTTTTGGGGCTAGAAGACCTCTTCATCAGGGGCTATCGCTCACATATTACAAAGTATTTTAGGTCGCTAGACTCCGCATTTGGCAGAGGAAAAGGAACAGAAAGTTGAAACATTGAAGACATTAAAAAAGACAAATGTAAAAAAAATCAAAAATTAATAGATTAATTGTATATATAATTTTATTTTTTCTTTAATTTTTAATAATAATTGACTTCACTACGTAATATTTTGTCAATTATTATTTTTATATCGCGAAACAACTCCATGGTTGTGTGTTATCTACAAAATGGTCAAGGAACTACAAATTTTATCCCCAGGCAGCCTGTTTTTCCTCCAATAATACGGCGTCTATTTCTTTATTTTCCACTATGACTCTGTGCTGAGCTACCATCTGGACCAGGAACATTTTCTCTCGGTGTACTTGGTCGCCATAATTACTTGTGCATGAATTTCACAAAAAAATCACTATTTCTACAGCTATAGCTTGTTAATATATGATTCTATGCGAAAGACTATTGAACCATATACCTATCAACAATCACAACCTAATGGCAATAACAATAGACATTTCGTAGAATGCGGTGTTGTCAGCTGCAAAACTTAAGACAAGGCTTCCTTCAATAAGAATTCTTTAATTCGCAACTATGAAACGCCAAAGTCACAAACGACAAAGGAGTCCTTATTCAAGGCGACCATCAAGTCGCAAGGGGTCCTTAATTTGAGGTGTGACTGAGAATATCATTCAATAACAACAAAATTATAAAGAAAACGTTAATCCTACAATCTAAAAACACACACCAAAAAAGAGGTAAATATCTAGTGCTTTGCGCACGGAGCGTTCGATTGTTGTTCACTGCTATAGGCGTCATATTGCCAATTTACAGCGCCATCTATTGGTGGTCGATTTTCGCCAATTATAAAATAGTACGACGAGCGAAATTTGATTGTGGCTCCATCTAAGACTAGTATTCAACACTAAATAGCACTTTTGCTGTATTTAGTGATGACCATCTAATAGGCCGATCAAAAATCAGATAGTTGGGAAAACCCAGAATAGGGAAAACAAGTTTTCTCCTATTATCCACTATTTTGCCTACAAGCACTTAACTTGGATTGATTTTCTTTGCTTTCCTAGCCATACTGACGAGACCTGAGACCTCTGATAGGTCGAAACGCATCTGTGGATGGAATAACAGAAAAAATTAATCCAAAAATTTTCTCAATTTTTATAAAATATAGAACACTAAAACATATGTCAATAGAAATCCACAAAAGAGCATACATTTTATACATACATAAAAATTACCTTCACACTTGCGAAAATTTACACCAGTGGCGTATGTACGGGGACAGGACCCCCAGTGCCTTGCCCCCCCCCTGTCCCGCTGGCTGGCGGCGCCCATGACCAAAGATTTTGATATACCGCCCTTGTCAAACCTCACCTGGAAAATTGTTCTGTAATCTGGAATCCTTACTACTCTACTTACATTGATAAATTAGACAATGTACAAAGAAAGTTTTTGAGATAATATATTGTCCACAAGTTACACTCAAATGTCGAAAATGTAAACTATGGCAATCTTGAACAAACTCTATTCATTCAAATTCTTAAAGGACGTAGAGGTAATATCGACACTATTACTTGTTTTACATTGGTTAACAATGCACTAAATTGTCCTGAACTTGTTTTAAAAACTTCAATTTTATGTTTTACAGAGAATTCTTAGAAATTATAGAACTTTTGAGGCAAATTTCCATCGTACTCTGTACGGTCATTATTCTCCCATGAACGAATGTTCTAGTTTCGTATTTTGTACCAATTTTATCTTAGTTCATAAGTATTTAAGTTATAGGTTTTTTTTTTGCTTAAAATTCTGTAACTGAAAAGGTTATGCCCGTTTGCTTGAAATAAATAAATTTACAAAAAATAAATAGATTTTCAGTTATCTAGCTTCTCAAGTATCTAAACTTTGCGACTTGCTGGATTTTCCAGCTGCACATTTGGTGTTCTGCTAATCATCATCATCTCAAAATACAATACAATATTCTATAATACAACTTTAACTGATTTTGTTTGAAACTAAATTGATGAAAGAACATTTTGTTCAGTAGAAAATAAAGCATTGTATGCACCATGAGCATTTTTAGATTAAAATGCCCTTCAGGCGAAATATATCCCCCGGGCCAGGCTCTCTGCTTGGACTAGTTTCGAATCTACATAATGCTCTTGGTACTTGGTACATAAATAGCCATCAATTAGGACCCTCCTTGTACAGGTTTTGCATATTATATTTAATTAGGGTTTCATTGCTCTCTCTCTCTTTTTCAAATTAGAATTCAAAAATTTCTAGATAACCAATTACTAAAATGGATGACGATGCTCCAGACTGGCTATCAGCCGCCGACGAGCCTGAACCAGAAACACAAGCAGCTCCCGCAGCTGCAGCTGCCAAAACCGAAGCTGCTGCCGATGCACCCGCTGGCGAAGAAGCGCCAGCAGGAGGCGGAGCTGAAGAGCCTGCAGCCGAAGAAGCTCCTGACGAGTACTTGGATCCCGATAAGCTTTTGCTGTTCAAACATTGGATCAGGTAATTTGACTCGGTGCTGGAAACCAAAAATAATTAAAACCTTCATTGTATTTTTAGAACAAAAACCCGGATAATAATAATGGTTAATTTTATAATTTGTTAATTTAATTTTTGCAATAGTAAATTTTCTTGACGGGGATTTATTTTTTGGCTCGCTACAACTTACAGAATAAAACATTTCGATTGTAGCAAATAGATAAAACTGCTCTCCCCATTCATTTCAACAAGTAATTAAATATATTGGCACTGACACTAATAATGCTAACGCGTGTAGAAAGTAGATGCTAAAAATAGTAGAATCATTTTGTTACCTAAGAAAAATGTCAGCTATGTCCTACGTCCGATAATTACCTTTATATAATACGTTTGTTTGACTAAAATTAGATTTTTTTTTTTCAAAACGAACATCGATATCTGGATCTGGATTACTATGATGTATTCGACTGAGATTTTTGGAAAAATTTGTGTGACTTTGTTTATCTATAAACTCAATCCGATTGACCAAATTGGATGAAACATTCAATCAATGTGGTTTTTCTAGTACTTACAGTTGATCCGATTATATTTGTCTAATCCAATATTGGATCGGATCAAAATTTACCCAACAGTCTTAAGTTGATGTATGATTTCCTTGAATTGTCCCAATGATGAGTTTTTGCCAAATTTTCCTTTAATGTACCATATCAGATTAATCTTAGCGAACGCGAGAATCCTAATTAATATTTTTCAAATTGCCCTATCTGTACTGCTTGGCGGCAAATGAGTAATTACGAAGCTTATATCGCGTAAATTATTTTTCAAATCGGTCCATTAATTAATTAGGTTTTTGCAGGCGTGGTGCTTTAATTAATTGTGGATTTAGGCTTACATTTTTTCGCAAATGAAGTCAAATATACCAAAACTCACAAAGATTATCCGAATCACCAATAAATCAACATTGTATCAAGATAAAATCACTAGGCATACACTAATTACTTTTTTCTAAATTATAATGTCACAAGCTGAATTTTTTAGGGATCAAAGTTCATGATAAGGTCACCCTTATTCAGGAGGTATTACAAAATTAGACTGCGCAAAAGGGCACTATCATCAAGAATCGAAATATTGATACCACCGTATAGTTTAAATATAGGTACCTTCCATTTTACGACAAACGAAGGCTTAAATAAAGACATTTTTTTTTTATAAAAGTTTCGCTTCTGTATTGTCCAGATAACAGCGCAAACCACATATTTTTTGCTTCTAAATTAACAAAGATATAACAATAAACAATACGAGATGTCAAGGGTTTCTGGGAGACTTGGGAGAGCAAGATCTGACCGCCCAGTTTCTCGACTCGCTATGCATCTCTCTCAGTGTTGATAGGTACAGGATCTCTTTCACTCTGTTACAATATTTTGTATAGGAATAGGAAGAATATCCGCTTGAAGGCGAAGAATGTTCCATAGGGTGTATGGTGTATTACTTTATAATAATTTGCCTTTGAGGAAGAAAAATGAGATAAATTAATCATATTATCAGAATACACAGGGTGTTTCACGAACATCGAAACAGAGGCGTTTTAGGGCATTTTGAGGTAGATTAAAAAAACGCTCGGACCCGTCAATTTTGTATTTAAAGGGGACACTTTTTGACCCCATCGGGTGAGGTGACTTTCACCCCTCTTTTTCAGATAGCGAAGTATTTTGATTCTCATCACAAGTGCGTATTTTTTTTTCTGAAAATCGAATGATTAGTTCTCAAAATATTCACTGTCAAAGTTGCCATAAGCTAAATATGAAACAATTTTCTTGCCTTGTTATTCTCAAATCAACACTTTCCTCTCGACAACGTCAATTTTAATTTTATCAGAAGCACTTTTCAAATAATTTCAATTTGTTTGTATTCATCACATCGTCTTTTATGAAGGGTAACGTTTGGCCTTTTTATCAAGATAAGGAAGGTAAGTCCAGGTTGAATGGTAGGTAGGTACTTTGTTTTAAAGGTATGTATTTTGATTCTCGTTAAAACTGCGTATGTGATTCTTTTTTTTTGTATTGAGGGTGATTTTCACCCCCATTATTATGATAGAGAGATTAGTCAGCAGACTCCATTGGTTTAGGTATATTTAACTGAGTTTCCTCCTGGTAGGGGGTTGAGGCATCGGGCTAACTCCCCGTTACTCGGAAAAAAAATTAAACTGTTAAAAGACCCAATCAACAGCCTCGGAACAGGACTGAAAAACGAAGACGAACTAGGCAACGGAAACGGACAATGAGTATCGGTACATGGAACGTCCAAGGAAACTCTAGAAAATTGAATGAAGTGATATCAGAGATAAAATATCAAAAAATGGATCTGCTTGTCGCCACAGAGACCAAAAAGAAAGGACAGGGCTCAGAAAATCTGGGAGAGTACGATCATTTCTTTAGCGGGGTTCAAAAAGAACTTAGAGCGAAGAAAGGAGTCTCGATCTTCATACATAGAAAATGGAGAAAACATATAACATCATGGGAAGCAGTAAACGAAACCATAATAAAACTAAATGTATATATGTTCGGAAGGAAAATAACAATCTTGGGAATATATGGAGTGAACGACGACGAACCCGTTAATATAAAGGATCAATTTTACCAACAACTCAGTGACCAAATCATAAAAGTAGGAACTTCAAGGGAAATAATTTTGCTGGGAGACTTTAACGGACGAACAGGACGAAAAATCAACGACAAGGTGATCGGAAAATTCGGAGAGAATGTAACGAATAACAATGGAGAAAGGCTCATAGAAATATGCCAACAAAATAACCTAAAAATCCTAAACGGTTACTTTCAGCATAAAGAAATACATAGGTACACATGGAAAAATGAAACTAGACAACAAAAATCTATTATTGACTACACTATCGCTAAACAGAGCTCGAACATAAAATTCCAGGACGTGAGAGCATATAGGGGAGCGACCTGTGGTAGCGATCATTACCTCCTAAAAACAAAAATCTTTATCCCGGGCAGAAACATCGCAAAAGAAAACGGAATGAAAACCCAAGAAGACAATATTGTGCCTGAGAAATACAACCTAAAATCTCTAGAAGAGCAAAGCGTAAAAGGGTTGTACATGAAACCTTGAAATGCATTACCAACATATCAAAGACAATATTCACAGTGCAGCATTTGAAGCCATTGGCAAATATGAAAAAAAGGGAAGTAGGCCTTATTGGTGGGATCAAGAAATAGAAAAAGACATAGAAGATAAAAGGAAGAAATACACGGAAAGAAATTTTGGATACTATTAATCCAGTAGGGTAGTATTACAATCAAATTTTTGATCAATATAGCGTCAATCTAAATTTAGATTAATATCAATAAATGATTCGATTGATTTACTTGTTGAGCTAAAATCTGCTAAAATATATCAAACCATGATAAGTAGCAGCAAATGAGTTCCAATAAATAACAACCAAAATTTGATTATTATTAGCAAAAATAAAATTAAATTTGCCTATGATATTCCTGAATATAATTTATATATTCTTAAATTTAGCTAAGTATTGAATAGTATCAAGCAATTTTTGGATCAGTTCAAGTTGATTGTAGATAATATTTGCTAAATATATGATTGATTTTAGAAAAAGATATGACGAAAGATAGCAAATTGACAAATAATTAGGATAAAATTTATCAAATAATTTGATTACTTCTTGCAATATTTTGATGTTATATATCTAATAATTGAGTGCAACTTATCAAATCTTTTGATTATGTGCATTCAATATTTGATTGCTGGCCAATTGATTTTCCTAATTAGCGGTGGTGGTGGGAAAATAGTAACAATAAAATGAGGTTTCGGTTTATTTATTATTTATTTTACATTCGCTTACAATATTGAATACTAAATTATTATTATCTCCTACTAATTTAACCTAAATAACCTTCTCAAAAGGAATACAATTTATACCTTATAGTTTATAGATAATAAGAAAATAATAACAGCCGTATGCAACATCCTCTTTTAACTTTAAAAGCGACTTTGAAAGTCAATTGCTTAAGAATAAATTTTTTAAAAAGTGACAGAATAGGCTAAAAGTGCTTTTAAAATTAAAAGATGATAGTTGCATACGGCTATAAGTATTTAGTGTAAAAGCAAATTAATCAGCTTACAGGAACCAAATTAAAAATATAAATTTCCTTGTATAAAAATAAAAAACACAATTCCAAAACTCCGTAACACCCTATGTTATTAGTAGGTTTTTTTACAAAAAAACAGATGAAATGTTCGTTTCTACTGGAAATTTCAATTTCTCTCCCATAAAGAAACAAATATCACAAATATCACTCACAAAACTCAATAATTTATTATTGCCAGTTAGCACTGCGTGGCACTACGAGTATGGATGCGAGAGTACGAAAAAATACACTAAGACAACTTAGACAAGTTTTTCCTGTGGACCGGGTGCGGCGTGCACTCCACATAAACAGGAGAGACGTTCTTCCTCCAACAAAACACCACACACTAAAATATTTTCAAATGAAAAATAACTCAAATAGCCAAAACCGTTAGAAAAACTTAGAGGTATTTGCTTGATTTACTCCTTCTATTATAGATTTAGCCAAATAATGGCTCGATTCTAGAAGAGTTTTATTAATTTGGTCAAATATTTGATAATCGTAGCAAAAATTGGATAGAAATAGTTATATATTTGATTGTTTTCAGTTCACTGTTTTTTTCTGTTTTCTAAATTTCAGTAAATTCTATGAATAACTTAATCCAGACAGAAATACATTAATTTAAAATATCATAGATATTAAGCATTTATTTTATTGATCCCATCAAAACCATATAGATCAAAAGTAAATTAATGCCCATATTATTCTGTGTTGAAACCTAAAATATTTTAAATCAATGTACCTAGTAATTCATTCCTAATTGATTTGATATGGAAATGTATAGATCTGTGAAATATGTAAAAAATTTCACTATGATGCTTGTTGAGATAACTTTGATGGAACTTATTCTACCAG